GTAAAGAACAGCATAATTGTTTTTTTTATATTTTACTTAAGAGCCTGAAAAAAGCACAAGTTCACGAAATTATGTTCAAACGTTCTTAAAAACTAAAACCTTCTAATGTGCACATTACTACTTAATTCATAGCCCAAAGTCTAGAAATTCACTAAAAGCATGTAAACTGATACAATCTCTGACTATATTTCATTACATACTACTTAAACTAATATAAATAGTTGAGAGATGTACATTACGAAGGATAAAAAAACAACAAGCAATCACTTGTATTCTTGCATTAGACCTCGTTGTTTGCAACAATTGCTTACAAACATGAATCAATTAATAGTTTTTGCTTCTAAAACTTATTAATTGAATATACAAACGTCTAAAATATCAAAATCTGTCGATCTTTAAAATATAACTAGTCACATAAACATAATTATTTGGTCGGTGGCGAAAAGATGAAGGCGAAATGAAATATGGATAAGATATTCAGTAGTATCAGTAAATGTTGTCTTTATTTATTAGAAAAGACGTGCAACTATCATATGACAAATGATGATTACTAATAAATATGACTTATTAGAGAATAATCATACATCTTATTTTTTCCTCAACTGTCGATGTACACAAAAATAAAATAGTTGTCACATTCTAACTAGGCAAGTACCGCAATGCACAGAATAAATGATATAATATAAATAATATAGACAGTATAATATGAATGGTATAGAATAAATAGTATAGTACGGGAAAAGTTAAAAAGAATGTACAATGTCATGAATGCAGGTTGATAGATAATTTTTCGTCAACGTGCATCCTGTAAATTTTCTCTACCTCTGTGTATACCATTTTTGATTATCGCTACCGTCCAAAGTTCAACCAATTATTCGTTTGGACTTGCAAGGTAAATCTAGAGTTTGAAGCGGAGAATAATCCTAACTTCTATTGGTCTAGAGTTTGAACACTTCTTTCAAGCGTGTCTTCTGTTTGATAATAGAATACAACAAGCAATAGTTCAATAGTATATCTTATGCCAATCAACTCACAATAACGTAGAGTAATTTCCTGATCGAAAATGTATATGAAGATGAAATAACAACATAGGAATAACTACACCGAAAGTGGAAGATATAGGAGGAGGTGAATGATTAAGTAAACATAATTAGGAAATAGCAAAGGATACAACAGCAGTTAATCGATCCAGTGGCAGCTTACAACCAGGAGAATGTAGAAATACAATAACACATTTATCTATTAACTATGCAATGAAAATATCAATAATAACCCATAAATTTGTCCCAAAAACTACATCATCAGTATTCATTCTTTCACAACACATACAGTAGAAGTAATAACAGGGGAAATAAGAGACAAAATAAATAAGTTGTAACATAACATCATTTGAGCTAAAGTAATAAACCAAACTGTGTATTTTTTATGTGGCAATTTGCTTATACTTCTTCAATATCAGCTCATTTATATGAATTGGATTTGTCTAAATCATTTTATAAGATAGATTAAAGTAATATTCGATTTTAATTAAATAAAAACGAGAATAATAGGATAATTAATTAGATTCTCATTGAGAAAAACTTTATAAATCACTCCTTCTAGTACTTAAACATTTTATTAAGTAGTAAGTTAAGAGAAAGACTATTTATGGGAGATTGAAATTATATTTATTTTTCAACAGAGATCAGTCTACTTTTGTGCAAAACAGATGACAAACGAACTATGAAGAAGGAAATTTGTTGACATAGAAAAGACCCACTCTATGTAGGTAGATAAACCAACTATCTATTTTCCTTAAGAGGAAAGGCTATAAATCAAATATCCAGAAGGGACCAATTTACTATAACCCAAATTTCAAAGCTGAATAGCACAGTCACCTGGGATCTATGTGAATAACAACAAATATTATTGTAATTACTAAGTGCGCTGACTGAACATTTGTAGGGTGCAGTTTAAAGCAGTACATCTCGAGTACAGATGTATCGGAATATTTTGGATTTCAATCAACATTAGGAGCTAAACTTTGATGCAAATAATTACTTGTTTTTACCTGATCCTAACATTCTCAGACCTGATATCGATCCAATCACTTTCATAGTTGGGTTACACTTTTTACATGAATTACTGTACATGGGATATCAAAGTTTCTTGGGGATCTACTGAAAATGTTTCCATATAATTTTAAGATAATTGTCTGTGAATTAAATAAATCGTATATGTTTGTTTTTTCCTTCAACATAATAATCCTTTTAGCAGAAAGTTATGTAGCTATTCATTTGAAAACAAAAACTATGATTATTAACACAAACTTTTTAATCATAAGTATCCAAAAGAAGCACAAATATGTTAAGCTAGCTATAGTCGGTTACCAGACATTTCAGATAAATCGGTGACCGGTTAATAGTGCATACGACTAAGCGAATGAATGAACCAAGTTGTAGAGGCAAGTAATATTCCAGTTAAACAAGAACCATCACCCACAGTTCGAAGTTGTGAAAACCTTCGGTGATTAGGAAGTTTCAAAATCGGACAAAGAATATAAACAATGGTGTTGATTCAGGTCAATGGTAAACTTTGGATTGAGACAAAAAGTATCAAACTAGATTATTCCGCACTACAATAATTCAATACAATTACTAAATTAACGTAAAAATGATTTTGAAAAAAGTACATTAAACCATTAATTTGGAATTAAGTTGCCATTCTACAAAAGGATTTTTCAGATGTCGTTAGTTTAAATGATGCGGTTCTTCAGATTAAAAAGAGATGTTGTTATAAATTCTGCCCAGTTAACTATCACATGATAAGATTGCCAATCAGAACACGACTTATACAATCTTGATACTGTACCAAAACAATGACACGTCAACCATTACGAGCAGTCAAGAGTCAACTCTGAGTCCTGATTAGTCCTTCCGCCTAGCACGACCTGTTTGAGTCCAAAATACAGCTTCTACTGCATGAATCATATATTTCAGACATACTGGGTTTACATACAAGCTAATCAAATCATATCATACCACAAAATAGAAAATAACAATTATACAAGAGCAAAAAGAAAAGTGGGTGTGAATGTTAGAGGCTGTGATTAAGAGATCGAAAATAACTTGAGAATAGTAAATCGTATAGCAGTAACCAATAGGTCAAATGAAAGTTTATGATAAAGGGAATATGAATATAATCTATTTAATAGCTATCCAATATGAATATACGTAGTAATAGTCCATAAATAAGTTCGAGCAACTACCATTCATTAATTCTTCGTCACGATATAACAGATGTGTTTGTCGATCTCCCCAAATCAATCAACAATGCTATCTTTATTCGACAGTTATGACCAAGGTGTTCTGCAACAGTTATGGAGACATTTCAAGTTTCTGAGAGTTATCGAATAGAAGTAAGAGTTCACAAATTGAAATCACAGGTTACTTCTATGAATTCAGTTCATCAGGGGTATCAAATGATCAGTTGATCGGACAGTATTCGAACCTGATTTACTGTTCTGCACGGTTGCATTTTCTTTTAAGCACGTCAACAGGACCTGATTAAAGCATATTTCGAATAAAACCACTTTGGAACTCGCTGACTGGTTCATCTTCAATCGATCAGCGTTAGTGAATGAGCTGAAAAGACTAGAAATTTTCATACTGTGATACTTTCTCATTATATTAACATAACTTGCTATCCGCTCTGAAATGTTTATACTTCCGTCTAAATCGTGTTTCGATTCGAAAATCAGTTGAGTGAAAAATGTATCCAAGAACACTAGGCCGAAGAAAACTTAATACAACGAATTATTGATTTCTACCAATGACAAATCATAAAGTGACACTACTCAGTATGACTACTACTTAGACTGTAATTACTTATTGGACATAAGAGTAAATCTACAAGAAATCAATTTTAAAGATAAATGTCACTATCATTAATCTTCAGATGTCGAACTCTCTCCTTTAAAGGTATCCTTTATACTATAATTTACAAAACCAGTAAGCTTATTACATGTTCACCTATGCAAAATTATGTATTTCCGAAGTACAACATAAGACAATCTTCCAATGACTTCCTTCGTATTGATAACAAATTTGCATTTAATGTAATTACGGATAAATTTGAGCCTTAAGTAAAAAATGGTCAATAGCATCAAAAAACAGACCATATACTTTTTTTGCTGAACAAGTGGATTTGTGTATATACACCGTGAACTGATACACTGTAATATTCATCCACTCAGCTAAAACTGTATAACTAAACATTAGATAAAACTAAGTCGGCAAATAAGGGTTTGTAGTTGATTATGCAGTGCAACATTATCAATGTAATGGTAACCTATTGTTATATTTTCAATTGAACATTTTTGAAGGTTACAATTAGCTGTAAAAAAAGTCCAGTTACTACTCCTTCAAATGAACTGAACTATTTAGGAATACAGATACAACTCGATCGTATGTACTTATCATCTACATTAGCAATGCCTTGAGTAGATCTGAAACGAATTCACAATGTACTTTGGAAAGTACTTTTGTATAAAACACTACGTTATTCAGGATGGTTTGTCCAATATATACATTTATACTCACCTTATGACAGAAATTTGTAATGCAATAGGCTTCATTAGACTGTTAGATATCGAAGCGTACTATGCACTACTTAATTTTATCGCTTTTACTATTGTGTCTAAACATTTTTATACCAATTACTTGCCAAAAACAATTTCAAATAAGTAGCTTTACGTGCTAATGTAAATTAACTTTGACACAAAAATAAGAAAGAAATCTTTACGTTGTGCTAAGGGCGATTTTGATGAAGACCAGTCAACTTGGAATGTACATCCAGAGCATTCTAAAACTGTTTTTTTCCAGTCAACTAGTGGAAAGGGTCACTTAACAATTACAGTACTTAGTTCCCAGTTATTTGGTTGCAGGTCCAAATCCCGCTACAGCTACTTCGGTTCCTGGTGAGTGACCCGGTACTACTGCTTCAAAGGAACACATAATAGTAATAAATAAATGGTAGTGTATTAGGCAACAATACTTAGATATGTGTATTTTTGTCACAATCTGGTTCAAAAAGAGAAGTTTTAGTCATGACAAGTGAGTTGTACTGGTTGAATCAGACGAAAACACCAGTCAGATTAATGTGAAACTCCACTTGAGATAAAAAAAATAAAACGAAAAAAACAGATTCTGTTTTTAAAAAATATAAAAAATCAAGTTATTTATTTTATCAGTCTTGCTGGATTAAACAACTCAATACCGGGTTGTTGTAATAAATCATCTTGGGCTTTTTTTTCATCCAGCTCCATTTGGTCGGTAACGTTTGAATTTGTGCTCTGTATTAAATTAGGATTATTTTTTAAAATGACAGCTGTTAAAAGGCGTCCAGATATAGGTCCAGTAAGAATTCCCCAACAAGAATTACCCGTGGCAATATAAACATTGGATAAACCAGGAATTTGACCAATAACAGGATAGCCATCACTCACTAGCGGTAAATAACAAGCAGATTCTGTTATCATCTCAGCATCTTTTAATGATGGGACTACACTAGTAACTATTTCTTTTAAACGATTACAACGCCAAGATTCAATTTCAACTTGGTCCTTTGAAGACGGTACAGGCTAGAAGGAATAATAATGAAGTTTAGAAATTTTATGAGATTATCACTAGTCATATTCAAATATGGGAAACCAATCGAAATGTATACTATGACAATGGAGATGTTCACAAACACAGATTTGTGTGAATGGTATCTGTTGATTAAAATAAATGAGTTAACTTGCAAGGACTGGGAAATCTTGGCTTTGAACCTGAGGTCCATGAAAGCTCAAAAGTTTGCATACATTTTATTTGATGACATTGAAATTGAAAACAGATATTTACAAAAAAAACATGGAAATCTTATTTAATCTAGTAGGCCTGTTTTTTTAAATTGGTGGAAGTGAAAGTTGAGTTCCTTAGGAGTAATCAATATTGAGAAGACGAAAAACGAATCCAATAGACTTTCTCCAATCTTTATTCGATCCTAGGTTTTTGGTCACGACTATGTGTATGAATATAACGATAACAGTTTATAAACCAAAAACACAATGATTAAACTCACTGCTCCATCACCGAGACCACATACATAGACTGTATTATCAGGTCTTGGATAAACTTCAGGTGAACAAGAGAACTCAGAATTTTGATAATCCATGAACAAACACTTAGCATCTATTGGAGACTTCTCTATTTTTGGTTTCAATATGATACTATGAGCTCGCCTTCCATGAAATTTATTAGGATTTAAACATCCTGATGGTAACCAACTAACAGCTTCCTTTGACCATGGTCCTGTAGTAAGTATAACTAAACTGGCAGGGATAACTTCAGAATTTGAAGTAGATGATTCTATTACTCGAACACCACTAACTTTGGGAGCCGATGTATTCGATGTTGAAAACTCTAGTCCTATAACATGGGCAATTTTCAATTTTGTTCCTTGATTTGTTAAATATTGAGCACGCCGAAATAATTCATCTGTGAGTTTTTTGGGATGTACCTAATAGGAGTAATGTAATAAAATAAATAATACTCTCAGCTTTTTATTTTTACATGACAAAACTCAAAATGATGAAATAAAAATGTAATCTTGACTTTAATAGGTGACTATACATAGGGCATGTCTACTAAAGTTAAACACATAGGGAATGTAATAGTTGTCATCAATGCTATTGAATGGTTGTTACACAATATCACAAAATGGTTGAAATCATAATTGTACTATAGGACGCCAACCCAGTGGTTTTCATAGTCGAGCATTAGCTGTGAAAAACAAAGGTCTTAAGTTCGACTCATGTCGCTGTGAACCCGCACTGTTCAACAGTCCCATGGTTTTCAGTAGTACATTAACTGAGATCAATCTGTGGCGAAAACAACCTACTAATCTGAACAAAATCCCTCCAAGTCAAAATCTTTGACATAAAATCACTGATGATTTTACCAAACGAGAGAAAGATCCATAATATTAACGTGAAGTTACAAAAAAGATAGCAATCACCAGAGTTTTTGAAAGTTCTCTATGCACAAAGTGTCTTAAAATAAAAACAGAAATTTGCTTAACTAATAGAATTGCTAATAAAAGCTTTTAATCCAGAACTTTACTCGTTTACTTTATCTCAGATTTAGGATTGCATTTGTAGATGTGATGGATTATATGAATATTACTCAACTCTAAATTTTCATTACAATAAACCAGTTGTTTAGCTTAATCCCTGAAATCTTATAAAGAAAAACTAAAATGAACCCAGTAATCAACGATAAGCAGTGTTTGACTGGACGATCTTTGAAATTAAATCAATCATAGACACCACTAAATAGTATCAATACCAGTCGTTGTTGGGAAGGTTCTATGGTAAAATAATTCTTCATGTGAGTCAAATATCTGCACTTTGATCGTGCTCAACTGGGAGAACGAATTTGCCTTCATTTATTTAAATGTAAGAAAATCAAAACCGGAGGATCATTTATACTTCGGCTGAAAGATAAATCGAGTTATTTAGGGGAGAATTATCCAAACATTGAGAAGAAAGTAAGGGGAACAGTCACAATCGGAATAATTTGGCATAAAGTCCAAAAAGCTATAAATACAAAGGCTATATCTATCAGGAACATAGACATAAGGTTAGGAAAAAACAGTGGATTTTAGAAGTTTCAATTGAAATAACAGTTGCTCGGAAAATAAGATAAACAGACAGAAACCCTACACAATGATCGCAAGCAATAGTCGACCGTTAAAACAAAGGAAGTAGAAAAGTCGGAGGTGACAGGTAGTGGGATATAGCTCTTTAGAATTATCAAATGAACAGGTATTAAAAGCCAAGCCTTTAGTACGACTACTGAGGAAAAAGATGGCACCGTGGTCTGTATTCAGAACTGGTGTTGAGGACGATGAGTAAAATACTCTGAGGAATAGTTCAACTGGATTTCAGCTGTTATTTTTAGTTTAAAATTTAATCCTGTTACATTAAACTTTTACGGTACGCAAAAAAATAACACATGTGAAACATTTACAGTAAAAAACGGATGCCAATAAAAGTAAATGAACATTAGTGGTTTAAAACTAAATCAGTTTAGTGTTTAAGAGTTTATTTTACAGGGCCCTTGGAAGTACTCTTACCAATAAACAAAATACAAAACAAACCTGTGCAGTAGTTGTAGAGTCGCCTATCAGTGAACAATTTTTTACTTTCGCATTGACCCAAGATGGTGAATTTGAAGAACCGGAAGATTTCCCAGGAGATAATGATATAGAATACGTATTAACACGTCTATAATCACATGCACTACCGAACTCATCTGCTAATTTCATGTGCAAATCAAAACCGTTCTGAGCTAAAACATCCATTTCATTGTGAGAACACCAGTCCTTAGCAAGGAATCCCCCAGCTCGCCCAGATGCTGCAGATCCAAGTTGCTCTTTTTCAATTATTAGTGTGTCGACCTTCCTTTTTGATAAATAATAAGCGGTAGAAACACCCATGATACCACCTCCAACTATGATGACTGACATTATGGGGAGTTACATATGTACAGCCTAAATCTGAGTGACGGAATATGAACACAAATACACTGGATACATATATATCCTGAATCTGGTAGGCTTAGTAATCTCGTTCTTGTTTGAAAAATGAACTATGTTAGGACTGATCTAATAATGAAATTCTTTGACTTTGTATTTCGTTCAATTATGGAACACTACAATAAATGTAAAATAATAATTATATGGACATTCCAAATTTAAGATGTAACTGATGGTCTTAATCGAAGAACCTTCCAGATTTTAAATTCTATACGGCTCGCTCCGTGAAAACTCGAGCAGTTTTCTCACTTTTGTGATTTTACTTGGATTGCTAACTTCCTGTATGTTCTCTTTGTGATGTAAATTATAGGCTTGCTTCATTAAGTTTAACGAGCACTAGAGGTTTGTGTAGAAACCAATGAAAGATCTCTGGGTTAAAATCCGTACTATTACCTTGATAAAGTTTTGTTTGTTATGATGAGCCAGTCGGGCTAATGTCAACAAAAACACTAGTACTTTTCAGCTTTATGGTCCAACAAAAGTAGAGTAGAACAGCCAATGAGAAACCATTTAAAAAATTCATAAATCCTACAATCTTAGACTTTAGAGGGGAACGATATAGCTAACTTCTATTTCATGTGACACTGATATTTTATGACTGGTCTATGGTAATTTCGCGCTTCATATAAAAGCTGGTGTGCTTATCTACCGCAAGGACGAAGTATATGACAAATAGCTATAATTAATCTCAGGACCATATGCATATGAAACTTCACAATATTTAATCGACGGTCAGGAACTATAAGTTGCTGGTCGCTATAACTGCATAACAAAGGGCTACTGTGACTGTGACATTTCCAAATTATGGACAATCATTACAAAGTGACAATACTTCCTAAAGGCAAATTTCAGTTATTTAACATGATGGAATTCCTAGCATTGAACAATTATCATGATATTCTTCACCACCATGTTAATTTTCGAGTTTCGATCGTTCATCACGAATCAAGATTAGTGTTTTTAATTTAACTCAATCTGTTTCAGTTAAAGTATTAGGAGTCGCGTTTTTGCATCTGTAATCATATTGGGTACAATAGTTTTTCTGGTTATCGATCTCTATGAGCCAAACGGTTCATTTGTGCTTTCTAACCCAACTTTGCGTGTCAGTTTTAGCCTCTGGGTGGTTTTTTCCAAGTTATTTGAAAGTTTTCGAATGATGACATGATAGTGTGCAAAAGAAATTGTTAACGCTCGAGTTGTCTTAACCTGTAAACAGCAATTAAACTTTTAGTTTCCTATTTGTTCAATGTCAGACTCACTGAGTGGGTATCGCCACTTGGCAACTTATTCGTTAGAGTTAGGACTTCAAAGACTTCATCAGAGAGATCAGTCTTTATGCAGCATTCTCTACATAACGGGAGTGAAGGCGGTCTGCAGGAATGCTTATGCGCAGTCAGTGATAGATTGCTACACATTTTACGGGACCATCTGTACTTGTCACACAGCATACCATCTTGAACAAAGAGATAGTTTTCGACCCCATCGATAACGTTAGACGATGATTATAAACAGCGTATGGATAAAACAGATAATCACAAAAATTCGGAAATTATAATGGTACTACAGTGAATATGAAAATGCACCAGAAATGTAACTTTAAAGTGATAGTTAAAGAAACGAAACGTCAAAAACGTTGGCAAACCAAACTCTGGGAAATACATGGGAAAACGGAGAATATGAATATACAGACACGAACCAACAAATAAATTTAAACTAGTGTAGACTGAAGTAAAAGGCGTGTGAAAAGGTATTTCGCAAACTTAAATAACGCTAGAAGCGTTAAATGGTTTTAGATCTAGCTTCCGCTTTGATAAACGCACCAGAAATCTAATGTTTTAAAACATGGAAAAATTCATTCTTTAAACAGATAACGCACTTATTGGATCCGAGCAACACTGCTGGCACAATCACACGCATTCAGGACAACTACACCTAAAATTTTCAAGTGCTAGATTTGTAAAAAGTTCTCGGTATCGTCCTTTGTACTCATCATACCCCACATCAATCCTCCAGTTAAAACTCGAGTGTTAACAATTTCTTTTGCACACTATCATGTCATCATTCGAAAACCTTCAAATAACTTGGAAAAAACCACCCAAAGGCTAAAACTGACACGCACAAATGAACCGTTTGGCTCATAGAGATCGATAACCAGAAAAACTATTGTACCCAATATGATTACAAATGCAAAAGTTTCAGTTTCAGTTTGGAAAGGACAGGAGGCTTGATGGACTGTGTTAGTACTGGCAATGGTGGTCTCTCGGTTGATCCAACATTCTTTTCAAAGAGCCTCAACCACGTGCTGAGGTAATTAACTCCACTTGATGATTCGATGGGAAAGTCGACGGTCAACTGACAAGTACTTTGTTCTGGGCTTGTGAACATTTCTGGAGTGCCCTCGTAAATTCTCTGTTTTGGAGGACAAGAAAAATGAGGGCATATCAGGTGCAAATTTATCACTAAGCAATTTGAAAACTGTAATGAAGTCGCCTCTAGTTCTGCGATATGACAACGGGAATAGGTTTAGCTTGACCAGTCGAGCATCATACGGGAGCTTTGCTATTCCGGGAATCAGCTTAGTTGCTGTTCTCTGAACCTTTTCCAAAAGCTTACTGTCTTTTTTAAAGCACGGGCTAGCCGCTTGTATGGAGTACTCAAGTTTAGGACGTGCGAACAATGTATATATACATCACAACACACTTGAAAGTATTTATCGACAACTGCCAGGTTTGAGACCATTCAGATAATTTCTTCAGATCATTTTGGAGTTTTAAGCTATCACCCTTACATCGTATCGTTCTCTATATCTTGACATCGTCAGAATATAGCAAGACCGATGATGATAGGAGACGAGGAAGATCATTTAGATACAAGAGGAATAGCACTGGCCCAAAAAATGTACCCTGGGGCACTCCATTAAGCATAGTTCCCCAGCTAGATAACTTTAAGTTCACCCGTACTCTTTGTTGGCACCCAACTAGGAAGTCTTTTATCCAAATCAATAGATTGCCTCCAATCCGACATTTCTTAGCTTCTATAACAGCCGGTTGTGCGGAACATTGTCAAAAGCTTTGCTGAAATCAATGTAGGCTACATCTACAGGTAACTTTTGGTCCTTAAGAGCGCACCAGCTTTCACGAGCGACTAACAAGTTAGTGAGACAAGAATAACATATTCTGAAACCATGCTGCTTCTCCGAAAGGATCCGGTTTTCATCGAGGTACCTAAACAGCTCCCTTTGAATAATCTTTTTCAAGATTTTAACAACCACACTAGTTAGGCTAACTGGTCGGTAATTCTCAGGTTTATGTCTCGTACCTGTTTTGAAGACAGGAATTACTATGGCGTTCTTCCTGTCTCTCAGTAAACGACCCTGCGTTACGGATAGATTGAAACATATACTTAAAGGGTTCGCAACGCAGTTAGATAATTCCTTTAGTAGCCTAGGACGCAATCCATCGGGTCCCGTGGATTCACCTATGTCAAGTTTATTTAGCAGACTGAAGACATCGGGGTTTTAAATGGTCACGCTATCCAGTGTATGTGTGGGAGGATTTGTATGCGCTGACAGGAAGGGTGGTTTTATGGTATATACATTGCTAAAGTAGTTTGAAAACAATTGAGCCTTACTAAAGTCGTCCTGCACTAATGATGCGGCGGTACTATCTCCTCATAGTGCAGGAATACTTTCTCTTCTTTTTGTCCTTCGGTTTATATAGGAATACAAGCGTCTAGGACATTCTATGGATTCCTTAACAATTCTTTTTTTCGTACAACTTTATAGACTTACGGAGGGTCGGAACACAGGTATTCTGAGTTTTTCGATACTGAGACTTTGTCTCACCAGTCCCCCTCCTTATTGAGCCATGGTGGAGAGTTTCTCGGCCCCCTTGGTATAGTCCAAGGGATGTGGGGTGCGGCAACTTTTAAGTATACTTAAAATTTATATATAAATTTTGAAATAAGACGCGACCCCTAATACTTTAAACGAAACAGATTGAGTTGTAGTAAAAACACTAATCTCGATGCGTGATGAACGATTGAAACTCAAAAATTGACTTGGTGGTGTAGAATATCATGGTAAAGCTTACCGAAATAGCTGGTTGAACGATAAACCACTCCAATATCAGACGGTCGTCCCCAACGGCCTTGACTTTGTAGCGGTAAATAAATCCTCAAAATCAATAGCTCTATAGGTCTTCGATATTTGATACCGATCACATTAGTTTTAATGGACTCACCTAACTGAAGGCGCTTGGTCATGCATCCGCATCAGATCACGAGTGGAAACTGAATGTCGAGCTCAACTTTTCCTGCAATCACTAGCCAGTCTGGACCAGTCGATTTTCGATATATTGATAGTCTATCATATATATCTTCGTACCTCCTTGCTTCTGACTTTTGATTTCACTAGGCGTATACGATTCATAGTAAGTGTTACTGGTTAGAGCGTTGTCAAACTCCAACTTCAAGATTAACGGTGGGCTTTAGAAATTTAAATTATCCGTGAGCAGAATCGAGTGTGTAGGACTACATGTTTTTCAGGTATTCTGATATTTACATAATCTGTTGATGTTTGAAAACCGTCACACTTTTTCTTCATAGCACAAATTGCTCTTTTTGTTGCTTTCCAGTGCATATCTAAATTTAGTTACTGCTTCCACACTTTCCGAAAACCATAGGTTGGCTAGTTCTTCTGAAGAGCCTTGAAAGAGTAACTAGCATGAATAAATACAAAAGTATCAGGTTTCGAAAGTTTACAGTCATCCTATTCTTGAAGTTGAAGTAAAAATGTCTGAAAATCCATGAGTTTGTATCTGACCTTCCCTTCCAGATTCAGCTTCGAATTTATGCTTCATTACAGGCTGTACCAACTGATTTTCGTATTTTCCATGAGCTGCGTGAATTGTACATATACACTGTGACATTCCTTCGTGTTTGCTCTGTCAAGGCTGATAGCGACATTTCAACATTTATTATTTTGTGTTAATAAACATGTGATATCCCAGTCTATCCAGAATTGGCTGTGCACCACCTTTTTGGGACTGTCCAGGGTACAAATGGTTGAGTTTCTCAATCGTAAAATTGCTGGAAATAGATCCATGCCGAGGCTGCGGAGCTGTTTGCCTTCATGTCTGTCTTCTGTATGTAAGCACGGGCCGGTAAAACTGCCTGAAATACCATATCGCCCATGAACTGGAATAAGATGACTGCATGATCACTTCTCCTTATATATGGTAGGATCACCATTTGAATGACATCATCACCGTGTGTGAAGACCAAGTCTAAGACAGACGAGGAATTTCGAAAGTTATATCTGGTGGGATCCCATATGTGTTGGAACGAAATCGGGTCAATTGTGGTTTCTGACGATTTGTGATCATTTGATGTTTCTGGTAACCCTACTTCTAAGTTGCATCAAAGTTAACTACTACAAGACTTTTACACCTGTTTAACCAGTATTTAAGTTTATTTAGTAGGAGGTCATCATTTGATTATCCTGGACTGCGGCATGCCATTTGCACTTCAAATGGCATCACGTTAGCTCACATTTCTCTGAGTCGTGTGACATAGCCTTTACAGCGCGTATGGTTAAATTGTTTATTAAGTACAGGATAGCTCCACCACCTCTACAGTTGGGTCTGTAAGCCCAATAAAGTAAGAATCCAGTCAGCTGAACTCGTATAAACTTTTGACGTTGTCATGTTTCTAAGATGGGAATAACATTAAGGTTTTCTGTATCAGTCACGTTTTTGAGCTCCGTGAATATATTTACTAGGCTGACAGAACATGTATATAATACCTTCAGTTCTGCGGAATGCTTTCTCGTACTACCCGGAGTGGTTTAGCCATCGTTTTGCACTGAACTTTACAATGTGAAAACCCTCAAGTAGAAGGTTTTTTCAACGGTTCCGGTAGTGCTCATTTGTTTCTGTCTCCAACGTCTGTCTCTTAATATGATCAATCAGATCATGAATCTCACGGACATATATTCAAGATCCAGTTAGTTTTCGTGGATTTCCTAGTATTTGGTTTCTTCACTAAGCGGAACCAAAAGTAACTTCTAGAGGCGACTAGCCTACTTACTTTTAGAGTCCAATTTTTGTTCTGTTTTGTGACGTATATAAATGCTAACTCCTGATACTGTTTTCAGCAGTAGCCTGCTTCTTGAGGAATAAATGTGTTCTAGACCGTTTCAAACCTAGCCTTTGGTTCCTTTACGGAAGACCCACTTAACTGTGAGCCAATCATTGACTTTATTTTGTTTCTTGATCAAATCTTCTACAAAGTTGAAATGGTGTTCTGTAGTTGAGACCTTCAACGCACATATTTCGGAACTCTCTGTAATTTTTTTATTTCTGTGATTTTTTCCTTGTAACTATGCCTAATATCTGTTTGTCATCCACTACGTTATGGTGGTCCACCTTGATGGCTTCATTCAGATCTACAGCTGGACTCATGATGATGCTCGTCGCTTCACTGAATTTTGATAGCTGCTAATCTGCTGCAGGTTGTTGGACTGAAGTCACTTCTCTGTCAGTGTTTAGCAGCTCAAGAACCAGCAGAAAAGCTTTATAGCAGCATGCCTTGAACATCCAACGTGATAGTGGCTTGCAGCAAACGTTATATGCTGTCAGTGTGAGTCTGATCCACATGCTTTGATATTACTTATTGCAGTTGTCACATTGAATTCCATCCTCAACCAGAGAGTAGACAGTGAGTCTACTACAACGTTGTTTTAGTCGTGCAATTAAAATTGCTTAAAGTGCTCACGAAGAGAACAACACGAAAAATCTCTTAAACCACACGGAATGCTAACCATCTCCTTTTTCGGTGAATTAACAGTGTTCGTTATACCTTCTGCAATTAATTCTGAAATGTCAGCTACTTAAAGTTGAGATAGCTTCAAATCAATTTTATTTCACTGAAAGCACAGTGATTAATGAGTTGTATGTTATTAAAAACTCAGTAAAAATTTCCAAAGTTGTATTCTCAAATGCCTGAAATTTATAAAACACATATGTTGGTTAGCCAAACATTAAATGCAAGATGGTGCATTAGCTAAATTGCGAGAAGTGTCTGCCCTTTGTACAGTGTGTTTGTTAATGCATTTAATGCGATTCAACACATATCCGAGGTTGGATACTAGATATAGGTATTATTCTCCGACTCTGACTCCCAACTCTCACTGTCAACATCAAATCCCATAAATTCGAAATCAAAAGAGTAATAAAGCTGGCTTCGCTCGGTGACGATAACCCTACGGGATTATAACAGTACTTAGTAAACCAACAGACATCAGTATATAATTTCAGCCACTTACATTTGTCATGAAGATTTGTTAGACAGTTAAGGTGAGTTAACGAAGCTATTATTCCACTGTTATTTTGCTTTACGATTAACTAGGGAATTGCTCAGGGTCATAACAGTACTGTTACCGTTTAAAATCCGTAGAACGAGAAAGTAATTCTTGTAATATAGCCCAAGTCTAACGACCGAAATGCCAATATTCTGCTTGAATGCAGAACTAACGAACCAAAATGTATTCTGTTAGACTAGAATACAGTTTTGTATAGTGTACAAGGCGTTTTCGAGTTACTTTTATTAAATTACATCAAAACACAAACTCTGTGCTCAATTTGAACGGTTATAATCTAAGGCAGAGAACAAATAATATCAAAAATACAAAGTACCTCAAACGGTACAGCCTGTAGTATTTAGTCGAGGGTTTCTCTAACACAAATCAGAGTGCTAAATATTAAAAAATAGGTAATACACAGGAGTTCAACACCTGAGAATCAGTAAATATGTTCCCAAAAAGATTGTATCAGATATCTATCTTCAAGAATTCCAGCAATACATCTTGGCAGACAGTCAAAGGTTAAAGGTCACGCATTAAATCACATCATGACCTTAAATTCAGTCAAACGCCACCTTATTGTCCGGTAACATGTAACAGAAAAATTAAGTAACAAGGTGTAAGTCTTTAACCAAAGCCACATAATAAAAACTCAGACTAGGAAGACTGAAAGACCCAATGTGTGACTAGAAGCGATCTAAGCAAAGGTTGAAATACACAACAGGGAGAAGAAACAAAACAAATAAGAATATTGTCCCACGAAATGCTCTGGAGGTATTTTCCGCTACACTAAGCGTTATACCTTATTCACTGTTTGGTAGTACGGTCAATATGTTTATCGACGTCAGGGATTTGGGGACTAAAATGCCTGCGACTTTTACTGAATTAGTCACAACATGACTTTAAGCTTGATTTGAATGCTCATTCCTACAGCATCTATGAACGTATTAAGCAGTTTTACCAAAACGGTGTTTAACTCATAGATTTCCAAAAGTTTTGTTGTAAAAGTTTTCTGACTCATCAATTCGATCTTTTAGTAAATTTACTGAGGTAGCATTCTATCTCTGAAACCTTGTTGTATATTGTTGATGAAACTGAATTATTATCATTTACCACAAAAATAATGGATAAAAATATATAAACGCCTGTTATATATATATATATATATATATATATATATATATATATATATATATATATATATATATATATATATATATATATATATGCAGCAACGTTGTTTGGGTCGAGTTGGAGATCCTACATGTTCTTAGTTTAGGACCATAAAGGAAACTGTCTGCTATAATAACTGTTTGATATGTTTTGAGTAGCTGACCATGTTGAGGTCTATAACAAGGTTTGTCCCTGTAGTTTGGAGATGAAACTCCCAACCTATGGAGCCTCTCATGTAATACTATCCCTTAGCTCAACAACCCCTTCTGTTGCCTGACTTAGGAGTTTCCTGGAAAAATTACCATCTGTATTCACGAAGACTGGTGGTTGTCGATATGTGGCCTAACGTACAAACTGAACTGATTGAAGATCAGTTTGGACGTCGGAAAACCTAAATCTACGCGGGCAATGTGAGGCATAAAACAAACTATGTCTAGTACACATGTGTAGTTTTCTATCTGACAGTAAGCTCAGACCACGCTTTATTGAAAAAGTATTACTAAAAGATGAAGTAAGGTGTTGACAACAATTTGGAGGTGTGTTTTTATACGATTTAGCATTTTTAATTGCCTACCATCCTACTGATATCTGAATCCACGGTAAACTTATGACCCGACATTTTGATGCCTCCCAAGTCTCAGATAATT